ATTATAATTATTAAAATTTAAATTTAAATTTCTTATGTACCACTTCGTTATATGTTTTTTAATAGAAAAAAAAGTTTAATTTAAAAGTTAACGTAATTTTTTAAGAGGTGTAAGCATAAAATTCATCCGGCAAATTTTTAATGAACTTTAAATAATGTTAAAAAACATCAGTAAAAATTAACTATACTTGACTAATTTCAAAAAATTGTCCAACTATAATACATAAGCCTGAATCAGCTGTATATGCTTTTTCATACTGTACCGGAAAATTTTACCGTGAACGATAAGAGTACTTTTTTAAGTAATTCAAAAATTTCTTTTATCTTTGAAATCGACAACAATTTCTAAATAGCTGTTCAACGGGCCAAGAGAAACCTCAAATATTTGCATGAAAATCATAAGTACTCCCAGAACTTCCTGGAAAAGCTTATGCATCCGCAATTTTTTTTTTCTTCTCCTGAATAATACAAAGGCAAGAGAAGCATCTCGAGCTCACCTTTCCGTGAAAATGTATACCCACCCACACCGCATTCCATATTCCATTGCGAGTCCTCGAGTAAGAACTTTCATTCGAGCCATAGGGTTTGAAAATTCCATTTCCAAGTCCAGATTGCCTGCATACAATTAAAAACGTGAAAAACCAGCTCGTTTTCCTTTCTAACGGAAAATAATAAACGTCAACAACAGGGAGTGTATATTTACATACACGTGTCGGAATTTCACGTCTCTTCAAATGAATGCCAAGTAAAGAGAAACGAGGGCTGAGCAACCAAAAGAAAAGGGAACGAAAAAAAAAAAAAAAAAAAAAAAAAAAAAAAAAAAAAGCAGTCGTAGGGGCTAAACATTTAATAAATAAAAGTAAACTATTCGAATAAATATACTATGTATATCAACAAGAGGTAAGAATAAAAAAAAAAATTAAAAAAAATGTCAAAACATAGATAAAAGAAATGAAAATGTTGGAAAATTTGGATTCAAGTCGCGCGATTCCGTAGTTGTATGATTTGCGGAAAATTCGTATGAAGAAATAAACGATATACAGTACATACTCGAGAGCAATCGAAGGCATATATAATGATGATGACGATGGGAGGAGAGGCCAAAGAAAAAAAAAAAAAAAAAAAAATTCGTGACGTGCTTTTCTACTGTAGATACATAAACGTCCTCAAGATATAGCCGCATTCCTGACGTAAAACTAACAGGCAGAGAAATATATATACGCACGCGAATGCTTGTCCGAATTTGTTTCTCTCTCACGCGTTACTATCGCATGCGCATATGTTTCCCATCATTTGAGACACGCGCCAGGCATACACACATTAATCTTATCTCAACACACAGACACGTACTTTCGTAGAACGTATATTTATACGCAAGACAAGTATAAAAGTCACTCCAGGTATACAAGATGTGAGAGAAGAAAATTTTTATTACAGCTACAGATATATTCTATATATTCAACTAGAGTTGATATTTTAACCATAAAAAAGTGACGTATGGATAAACTAAATTTATTGAAATAAGCAAAATGCGCGCGCGCGCACCAAAGAACCGTCATACTGCGTCACGATGTTTTTTTTCAGCTGCAGAAGCGAGAGCATATTATAAGTATACAAATGTATAAATAAATATTATTAAAAATAATGGTAAGGGAAATCTTACGGTAGCGTTTTGTCGTTTCCCATTGTCTCCAGATCGACGAGTCTTGAAAAGAAAAAAAAAAAATTTACGTCTACATGGGAATCATACAGATATTGCATTTTTGTTGTAGGAATAATAGTGGGTATGATGATTGAATTACATTTGAAAAAAAAAACAGAAAAATTATGCATTTTGATAATTTCGAACGATAACAGCAACAATGACATCAAAGGAACCAGCAGTATTACCATCAAAATGACACAAGAAAAAATAAAGTTGACAACCAAAGTATAACAATAAAAAAAAAAAAAAAAAAAAAAAACTCGAGCGCTTCCGAGTTTCTTTTCTGAAAAAACGGATACTGAAAATATACAACCTATCGCGTCTTCCTTTAGCCAAGCAAGGGGAGAAAAAGTATCTATGAACTTACGATCCTCTGCCAGAATGCGATTTAATCATATTCTCGAAAACCAACTAAACAAGCACAACAATAAAGGAAGGAGTTATTCTGAAACGCCGGTGAGATAAATAAAAAAAAAAAAAATTCCATACTCAAATCAGTCACGACGTTTTCACGTACCGTGGCGAGGCACATGCAAATTTTACGAGCCACGCGCGCCATTCGACTACCTATGGAGCCTTGCCTTGCGTGTCTCACGCGTACACGAGATCTTTTTTGCGCTTTCCTACCTATTTTCAATCATTCCACTCGCGATTTAATTTTCCTTTCAATGAGCCTTTTCAAAAAAAGCTCGAGACCGTGTGCAGTAACAAATGTTAGCTTTGAAATGCTACATCGGAATGTCTTGAAAAGACTAAAAAATATTCAAGTTTCGAGGTACCTCTTTCAAGTGAAATAAACGAGGTTTTTTTCAAAGAGATACTTACGCAATACTCATTTTTTTGTACACCCATCTGTCAAGTGATTCTAAATTCACTAATATTCATAAAGTTAAACTAAACTTATTTATTGATCATGACACGTAAATTGTTAGATTGAATTGTTACATTTTATACAAAAAAAACAACGTTAACTCACCTTGTTTAAGTAACCTTTAGTAAAATATTAAACGTTAATTCTATAAAATTTGAAGAAAAAAAAATGTCTGCGAAATTTTAGAGTACCATTCATCTGTCCTCTTAAAAGATTTATCAAATTTTAGTCGATGTGAAATCGCACGTTTTAATTTGATAATTAAATACAATGATTATTCCATGAGAAAGAAAAAAAAAAAACAAATAAACCACGGAATGTGTCCATCCGAAAAATCAACAATCAGCGAGGCAGAAACTGCTTTAGATGATTTCACTACTCAGGCTACTGATGAAGACTTTTTTTCTTATTCTTCGATGTATATTTTTTCTTATTTCGAGTCCATCTCTTTATTTTCCCGTCCAGGCCAAGCCGATTGCACGCGATGATGGAGCAGAGAGTTCCGGCTGGCGAGAGCGTTTCGCTTTTCCGACGCTTGCACGCCAACTCGCGCTTTTAACGAATTTTTTTTCCCCACTTCATTTCTCTCGCTTCACCCAGTTGTCTTTCAGCCGCGATTCCGCTCAACTGTGCGTTTCGTTTTAACAACTCGAAGGGTTTTAATTAGCAAGAAAAAAAAAAAAAAAA